ATAATGCACTTCCTGCTAGATTTTAAGCCTTCACTTACCATCTGCTTTTCATCCAATTGTGCTGAAGCCTGATTTGAACCTGGATATTGCTTAGAAAGCAAATACTTATAGTATAGCAAAGAGAAGAAAGACCTAGTTCCCTAGATTCAAAGGAGCCTTTCATTCGGGTGATGCAGAAGACGTAGAGAATAAACACCTGTTTTTTGATTGACACTCCCTAACCTTCACTTTTGTCTGTGAAGAGACAGAAACCAGAGAGGCACAGGCTGCAGCAGGACCTCTAAGCTCTGTGGTAGGTGGCGAGCGCAGCTCTGGCCTTGGGTGAGCTGCTGAATTGTTGCTTGACCTTGGACAAGTGGCCACGTGAATGAGGGATCCGGCCATCCTGTTGTTCTCTCCTCTAAGAAGAAGCTTCATGGTTCTGTAGTGAGGGTGATGTGATTACCAACCGTCAATCTGGCCAGAAATCAGGAAATTCCCTGCTGTAGCATCTTCGCAAAACCTGCATGTTATAAACTTCTTCAGGAGTCAATAAACACCAAGAGGGATATAAGGGAAAAGTCGCAGCATTTTGCCACAGGTTAACTTTTCCCTTTTTCTTGTTCCTCTGTGTCTTAGATGAAAATAGCACCTTAAAGTCTTAAGAACAGTTCTGCTGTACTGATCAGTGCTGGAGAATGATCGAACAGCCGGGCATCAAGCTTCCCAATGTAATAAATTAATCCAGACTATCAGTTTTGAATCGTTTATTTCCCCAGACAGGTTTTGCAGTATTTCTCTTCTACCATCTTAGAATTCATTTAGCAATAAAGAATCCAACATGGTCAAACCTACAATGGTCTGACCTGATCCACTTTTCTAAGATGAATTTCAGGGTATGATCATTTTGCCAGTAGCGTAGAAAGATCAAGATGATTTTAGGGGTCATAACATAGTACATGAACCTAAAGCCACTTGTTTTTTCCATTTTTTACTAAAGAGATACATGCCCTTTTTTTTTTTTTTCCCTTGGCTCTGGGTATTTTCCAGAGTGTTTCAAATTAAGTGTTGATGTATTGATATAATAAAGGTAAATCCATGTATAAGATTTAGCATAGCAAGCTGCTGCCACCAAGACAGGGTTGACCTGAGTGTGCTGTAGCCACAGAAACGCTTCTTCCAGGGGGAAGGCCTGCTATGGGTCCAGGCAGGCAGATTGTGGGCTCTGTCGCTGCTTTTCCCATCTCGGACGAGTGAGTTACTTAGCCTGCCTCAAACTCAATTTACTCACCTGTAAAGGAGAGGTAACGTCTTCCCACAGTGCTCTTCTAAAGACTAAACGAGTTAACATCTGTACGGTGCTTACCGTGGTGCCAAGCGCATAGAAACTGCTCAGGAAAGGGGAGCTATCACTTCAGTAGGATTTTCCCTCTACTATCTGCCCTTCGAGTAGGACGAGATGGAGTTGTTTCCACCTACAATGCACACTCAAGGATGCAGAGACTACGAAGTTTTGTCCTGCTCCAAGCCGCAGAGCCGGGAAGGTCACAGTGCCAGGGGACAAGCACAGGACTCATGGCTCCACCTCCTGCGCTCTTTCTACATCTCACACGTTTCTCCCCGTTAGATCCAGATAGAAGTGCTTATGTGGGGAGTGGTTGACTGACATGAGAATGTTGGATTTAATGTCCCCACGTTATGTACCGACTCTTCTGTGTGAGGATTTACGTGTGGAAAATAGTAATGAATACAAGAGGAAAAAAAAAAATGAAAGGGAAAAGAAGTCCAAGTTCCAATATTGACTCCCAGGCTTCATCATGAAGTAATCAAGTTTCCTCTGCCAAGAAAAATCCCTCTCATCCTTTAAGACTTGGCTCAAGAATGACTCTGTGAGTTCTCCCTCCGGGCTCTCCTCTGCATGCACGGGGCACCCCTTCCGACCGCTGCACCTCTGAGGTGCTTTTTGCCGACTCTTCTGGTGGGTTTATTTTGGGGGGGGCAGTCGCATGAATATTAGACATACACATTCATATTTTTGCTATATATAAAACGACCCTCCCACCTCCCCTTTCCTGACAACCTATTTTCTACCCAAATTTAACTCTCAAATACAATCTTTTTTCCTGGCCAAATGGTTCAATGAGGACAAGCGTATTAAATTAAGTTAAAAGACTTAAATGTCTACAGAGACTGGAGAAAGAGTAGAAATGGGTAAAGTGGGCCCAAGTATAGGAAACGTCAAATGGCCTTGCCTGTCTCTCATTTTTCCACTTTTGGTAGACCAAACAAAGACGGATATTTTTCTAATATGAGAGAAACTGTGCTTGATGATAAATGGTAACATTTGACTTCAGTATTTGTGTAAAAATAATAGGCGATGATGTGAACTGTGGCAAATTGGAAAGTGTATGGCCTGCTTAAGGAGACAAAAGTATTTTCTTCCATATATAACTGGTGCCTTGGGAAATTAAGGACAGTATTGATAAATATCCTCTATTTTATTTTCAAGTAAAGCTAGAAATTTTAATTTTTATATAAACCAGTTCTTACATGTTGGCCTAGACTTAATTAAAATTCTGTGCTGGCTAAGTGAGTCATAAGTGGCCCTAATTTGGCCAGCTTGCAGCCTCTGATTTTCGTAATGGGTCAAGACTAATATCAACATAAAATACCGGTTTGAGAGATTTTGAGAAGAGATTCTTGCCCTATCAACTTGGGGCTCATCTCAGAAATTCCATTACTGAACATCCTTCTTCGGAATAAAAAAGGTGTTCTCTATTCAAAACAAATATCTCCTAGAAAGTAAAACCTAGAAAGGTTATTATTAGTGATGTGAACCTTAATGTAAATGATAAAAGATCCTTTTAAACTATTGGATAGATAAGACAGGTGAAGAGGAGAAAACTGAACAGAGCATGTAAAATTTGAAGAACTAGCTACCCAGTATAGGAAAGAGCTAACAACCATGTTAGGGTCTAAAATTAAACCTCTACGTCATGATATAATTTTCAGCAGTCCTTGACCTTAAACTTACAATGATAGTTCCAGTAAGCAACCATTGTTCTTTTCAGAAATCCTGAAGCCAAAAAAAAAAAAAAAAAAAGAGCCCTGGCTGGTGTGGCTCAGAGGGTGGGAGCGTCGTCATCTGAAAAGTCACAGGTTCAATTCCAGGTCAGGGCACATATCCAGGTTGTGGGTTCAATCCAGGTTGGGTGGGGAGGGATACATACAAAAAGGCAACCAATTGATGATGTTTTGCTCTTTCTCTCTCTCTCCCCCTTCCTTTTTCACTAAAAAAAAAAAAAAAAAAAAAAAAAAAGTCCAATAAAAAACATCCTTGGGTGAGGATAAAAAAATTTTTTTAAATGGAGATGTTCTTACTTTTGATGGAATGTTCTTTTCTTTGATTTGTTCCCAGATTCCAGATGGCAAGATGTGAAGAAGTGGCAAAAATTACAGGTAGATGAAGTTCATATATGAAGCTCATACAAAAACCTATCATATACATTTCTTCTGACAGCTGAAATATTAAGTATAGAGTCCTAGTTAAAATGCATCTCATACTGTTAACTCATTAATATTGGGTTGGCTAAAAAGTTTTCTTTTTTTCCCATAAGATGGCTCTAGTAGTGCTTAGCTACCTTTAACTTCATTTGAAACAATTTTGTTAGACTGTGTTGTGACAGCTGTCACATCATCATGGATTTTTTTTTAAAAAACATCAAAATTGGTGAATTTGTGTATAGCCATTTTAATATTGAAGATGGAAGAAAATATGCAGTATTTTCAGCATATTATGCTTTATTATTTCAAGAAAGATAAAAATGTAGCTGAAGCAGAGTATGCAGAAGGTGCTGTGACTGAGCCAACGTTGTCAAAATTGGTTTGCAAAGCTTCATGTTGGAGATTTTTTGCTGGATGATGCTTCGCACTCAGGCAGACCAGTTGAAGTTTATAGTGATCAAATCGAGACATTAATTGAGACCAACCAATGTTCCAGCACGTGGAATGTAGCTGACATACTCAAAATATACAAGTCAATAAAGTTATTGGTGAAAAGGAAAAATGTGTCTTTTGTTTTATGGAAAAAAACATACTGATTTTTTGGCCAATACAATATTTTAGCAGCGATGGCGGGACTTTCCTACGAAGCCTTGAGCCCTGCAGGGACAGCATAACTTCAGGGCATTTAATTTTTCTATGGAAGGGTGGATGAGAAGCCCCAAACCAGGAATGGAGAATTGAAAAAGGTAAAAAGGACAATCCTTGTCATTGTTTTGTCTGGGGTTAATTTTGTTAGTAGATAGGACAGTGTCATGTCTTTCCTTGAAAATATGGTCCTTTCCCGGCCTACTGTAGAAGAAGAAAAATAATAAATTTCCTTGTACTCTTCTAAGTTCTCCTAGCTGGTCTAATAATCAAATTGACAGGAGACATGAATAGGAAAAAATAACCCAATTTATTATGCATGTACATATGGGGGTTCTGTAAGAATATGGGGCTGAAGACAAATCTGGTATCTGAGGCTCACATGCCATCTTGAGCTAAGAAGAAGGGGGACTGTGGCTCCACATTCTCCTGCAAACTGTTTACAGGTCACTTACTTTCCACACCTTCCTGGATGGAGTCGGCCCCCTCTCCGTTACTGGTTCATTGCACAGTACTTCGTTTCCTTCTGCACTGATCACAATCTAGTAACATTTATTAAGTCCTTTGTCTCAGACAGAAAACGTAGATTCTCCCATGCCTACGAGAGTATCTGGCTCATAAAATGCTTTCAATCAATACTTTTCAAAAAAAAAAAAAAAGAAGAAAAAAAGAAAAGGAAAGCATTCAAGGAAGATGAATTTAATTTGAGTGAACTTTTAGTGAACTTATACGTCAGGCATAAATCTCTGAGTATTTTCCTAATACTTAGCTCATGCTTGCATAGATTCAGGATACCGAAATCCTTTAAGTCCTATACGAGTGTCTAAATTTTTGTCTTTTACTGCGCACGCGCGCCAGCACACTGCGCACATGCGCAGTCCTGGCGGTGCCGGGCTGAGCTGGCAGCTCCGACTCGGGGGTGGCCCCGGGGCGTCATGGCCGAGGCCAACGGGGAAGTCGTCGCGGTGCCCCCGTCGGGGGCTGCCGGCGGCCTCAGCAATGGGGCAGGTGGGGCCTCGGCGCAGACCAGCAACCCGCTGTCGCGGAAGCTGCATAAGATTCTGGAGACGCGGCTGGACAACGACAAGGTAGCCGGGGCTGGCAGGGGCTGGGACCCCGCGGCCCGCGGGGCGGAGCCGGGCCAGGGGCGGCGTCCTTGCGGCACCGGGTCCCTCGCCCCGGGTCCCCCGCCGAGGGGACCCAGCCCCGCGCGTGAGGTTGGGGGCGGGGGAGAGCCTGGGTGTTGCTCGTATTTACAAAAAGGTTCCGGGATCAGTGGTGGAGCCCGCGTCCCTTCGGTCGTGTTCGGGGTCCGAGCGGCTGGGAGGACGGAGCCGGCGGCTGGATCAGGGGGTCAGGGCTGGGAATGATGGAGCAGCGAGGATGCGTCTGAGCTTTGCGGTTCCAAACTGTTGTGCGGGGAATAGCGTCGCTCGGGCGCCGCAAGGCACAAGTCCGTACCCGCTCCTTGCGTTTCAGAAATGAGTTTCCTGTTCAGGGATGTGGAGCGCATTCAGTATTTTGGGGGGTGTTCCATGGAAACACATGATTTGAAAATGATTTCATTGAATTTTGGGTGGAGATTTAGGAAAACATTTGAAAATTGATCCCGATCGCTTTCTTCTGTCACCCCTTGTGTAGGAGATGTTGGAAGCTCTCAAGGCCCTTTCAGCTTTTTTTGTTGAAAACAGTTTGCGGACTCGACGAAATTTACGTGGAGATATTGAACGCCGGAGTTTAGCCATCAATGAAGAATTTGTAAGCATTTTCAGGGAGGTGAAGGAAGTACGTAAACTCTTTTCATTAAGCATTTCTTGAAAATGTCCTGTATGCCTGGCTCTGTGCCAAGTATTTTTATGCATTAGGTTGACGTATTTGTTGTTCATGTACCATGTTCAGGTAGAAAATTGAACTACTTACTCCGGAAGCATCTAGGTCTGTCTTTGTATTAGTATGATTTCTAAATCTGCCACTCATCCTAGTTCTCATCCTTAGGAGGTTGTAACATTTATTCTAGGATATTCTCTTAGGAATCTTAGCTTCTTTAACAAAAATTTAAAAAAGAAAAAAAAAAACCCATTTCTCCAAATGGTTTTCCACCAGAGATATTCCCTCGTTGAATAAACCTCCTTTCGATAACCACTTCTCCATTGGCAATAATTAAGATTGGGTTACTTTAATGCATCCTCAGTTATGAAAGTTTCAGATTAATTAAGGTGAATACATCAATGTGTAAATAGTGATTCCTCGTACTTGAGTGAGCAGCCTACTCTACAGTGGGTAACAATGCTTTTTATTTTTATATTCTATTTTTTTAATGATGTAAATGTTACATCACATAGTAATATCACCTAGTTAGTATTTCTGTGTGAGTTGTATGGAAGAGTTATACATGATTTCAGTCAGTACTTAAAAACATTTTGAACAGTTTGGTAGGCTTCCATTGACTAAAGGCTAATAACTTGGAAGGTTAAAAGCGAAGCGGAGTGGTGTTCTCAAAAATAGGAGGAGGCAAAAGGGACGGGTGCATCCAGATTGTGGTCTCTAAACGCCCTCTCCCGCGGGGAAGGTCTCTGTGGCTGTTGGGAAGGTGTCAGACAGGCTGGAGCCACCCGGAGAGGCTTCTGCTGGCCAAGGGTCGGACGGCTGGAGCATCAGGCAGAAGAGCTCAGCAAACTGAGACACAGGGAACCTGTTTAAGTCCGCGAATTCACAGTGATATGGAAAACCAAACAGAACCCTTCTTAGGTGTCTTTGGTAGATGGAAGGGAGCGAACTTATGTTGAAAACTGTGAAATAAAAGGAACGTTTATCCTGACTTTTGTACCAACTCTGTACAGTTGTTGAGGGCAAGCTTCCCGTTCTAGACATTTTCCATCTAAGAGGGGAAGAAGTGGTAGAATTAGGTTAGACGTTGCAGCCACCCTTTGTCAGCCGTGGCGCGGCTGACATTGTTGGGGACCGTCCTCTGCGCGGTAGGATGGTTAGCGGGGTCACTGGCCTGTACCTGCCAGACACCAGTGGCACCACCTTTCCCCTAGTTATTTCAATCAAAATGTCTCCAGGCAATGCCAGATGCCCCCCTGAGGGACGAAACTGCCCCGTTGAGGATGACCTCTGATCTAGCCTTTAGTCACCACCGGCTGCTAACCTCCCAAAAAGAGGTTACAGTCGCGCTCATACATGTGACTGTTAATAATGGTACACAACACCAGAATTCATACCAGAAAATTGAACCAGATATAATCAAGTTTCTCTATCTAACTGCCAGTTTATAGGCAATATGGGGGCAGAGGGGTATGTTAACACCTTGAAGATTCATTCAGCAAAGTCTGCAATGTTGGGAGCTGTATGGGCAAATGAGCTGGTTTCTTCACAAATAAATTGTAAAAAAGAAAAAGAACTAGGGAGGAGTGGGAATATATATATATTAAGAAATGAGAGAAATATTCAGTTAATACTATTTATGAATCTTCTTTGGTTCCTGATTTGAACAAATTGACTTCGAAAACAGTTGAGGCAATGGGGGAAATTTGAACACTGATGAGACATTTGTTATTAGGAAAATATTGTTAGATTTTTAGATGTGAAAATGGCATTGTGTGTTTCCTTTTGGTTGTCTCAGAAGTACACACAGATATGTTTATGGATGAAATTATGTGCTCTCTGGAATTCAGAACAATTCAGTCTGTAGGCGAAGGAGAGGCAGATGGGAGGTAGGAAGACCGTGGGTAGAGAGGAAACGAAGGTGGTCACGAGTTGGTCATTGTTGAAATCAGGTGATACGTGCATGGCCATTCATATTATCTTAACTTTTGGATGTTTTTGAAAATAATCTTAATGGAAATACAATGCCGTATACATTGAGGGTATAAATGATAGGGCTTAGTGACCAGTTAAACTCATGTGCATTTGAAGGGGCTGGAGGTGGAGATAGAGCAATTTACTTATGAGCCTGTCACCCAGAAACAACTGTTGGTAGTGTTTCATTGTATCGCCTCTTCTGTGTTCTTTTGTGCGTGTATATATGTGTGTGTGTGTGTATGTTTTTTTAATAAAAAATGGGGAGGCATTATGTATTGTTTCATAACACATTTTTACCTTATATAGACATCTTTCTATGTCAGTAAATACACACATGCGCGTGTACACACAATCAGTGTTAATGTAGGCACGGATTTCTGTTGTGTGGTTGGGAATGTTTCACATTTTCCATTTGTTTTAGGCCACTCTGTTGATCATACTCTGACATATATTGTTGCGCATTTATCTGATTAATTCCTTCAGATAAAGTCTTACAATTTCTGAATGAAGAGGTATTAAAATTTTTGAAGCATTTGCCATTTTTTATTAAAAATAAATTTTTGTTGCACCCTCTACAAAGGATATCCTAGTCTTTTTTTAATATCTTTTCACACTAGATACTCCTTTTTTTAAAATTAATTTCCAGTCTTAAATATGACATCTTTTGTCATGCGTTGGCAAAAAAAGTTCATGGGTGGAAGATCAGGACTTGGCTAACAGGAGAGAAATTTCTTTAACAATGCATTTAATGATGTTACTTTTCTCCTTTTTAGGAACTTGAAAGCATAAATGAGGACGTCCAGGCAATGAGCACCTGTTGTCACGATATGACAAGCCGCCTGCAGGTACTGTATGGCGGCTCGATGTCAGCGGCCTTCGTGGCACAGAAAAACTTTCAAAAATTGTGAGATAGGTTTACAAAATGTATGGTTATCCACTACACAGTGCTCTGCAGGAAGTTAGAATATAGATATTATGCTTTTTTCTTAAAGCTTTACATGCTTTGTGTTTCTTTGGGTGATGGCTTGCTAATATTGTTAACTCCAGAAGCCTTTGTATTTTGATCTCGCTGGTCGAGAGCTCACTGTGTAGAATGTTGATAAACCTTTCCTATAAATATCCCGCAAGTCCAGCAGAAATGAACTGAGGAAATATATTTTAAAACATTGTACACGGCAAGATAAGGAGTGGAGGTGGATCTCGGAAGCAGAATGACATTAGGAAGGATAAGCACTTGAAGAAGTTATGGAGCTGAACGGTAACGATTGTAGAAGGAGACCATCAGAGCTGCCGTGTTTGGCTCCATTCATCAGAAGTTCATGAGCTGCTGAATGATCTCAGTTCGACTCTACTCTCTTAAAACTATAGGCGATTTGCTGGGCACTTAATTTGGTTGCAAGGAACTCAGACTCAAAATGGCTTCCCTAGACATGGGGGCGGGGCCTGTGATTTTCGGCTGCGCGGTGGATCGATCGGAGAGGCAGACCGTTTCTTTGACAAATCTGGGGGAGCCCCCTGAGAGCCCAGAACTTGGTGGTGGTGGCTGGCGGGGTGGGGGTGGGGGGTGTTTCTAGATCTATTTCAGTTACGACTCGGGCGTAGAACCGTTTGAGCTTGGAGTGCGATCTCATCTGCTGTCAGTCTGAGCTGCATGAAGTATTAGTATTTGCTTTTTGATGTGTAATAAAATCGAACCGCACTGATAGGAGGTATGTCCATCACTTTAGGCAGCGAAGGAGCAGACTCAAGATCTAATAGTGAAAACCACCAAGCTTCAAGCAGAAAGGTAAGTTTTTCCTTTCCTTTGTGTCGTGAGTCTTTGTTTCTTTGAAGTTTAAATGAAAGAAAATGATAGATAAAACCATATCAAAGTTAAAACAAAATAATAAAATACCTGATTCAAAATTGATACAGCATATAAGGTTCTGAGCTATAGTCCAAGTGTAAAATAAATGTAGAACAGTAGCTTAGGAGCATTGAATTTGATATTGAGGTTAACGGGTTGTTCCTTTTTTGGAGGTGACAGTGTGTTTATTTTTTGCTGTTAAATTAAAAAATGATTGCCTTTAAAAATATAGGTATATTTAGATTTTTAATTTTTTTATAATCACTGTCTCTTATATTTTTTATATTTAATTTTCTCTGGTATAGTCAGGAGTTAATTGTATCAATTCTTCTTGGAGTAGTTTACCACTAGGCACGCTTCTGGTCCCGATGTTCGTTCTGCAGCTCAGGCCAACGCCGAGCGTTGAAGGCAGGACGTCAGGACCGGCCTCGTCCCGTTGCCGTTCTGGGTGTGTCACGTTCTGGGTGTGGCACGCAGAGCAGTGCGGGGCACTGGGGCACTGGGACAGCGAGCCTCTGAGTGCGAGAGAGAAGGGGGTCAGGGATAAGACTGGGAGAAGGCAACCACGGCGACGGCCACGTGTGCTTAAAACAGGGACACTTGGGCAACTGTAATTGAAAAATTAAAAAAAATGATAAAAAATTTTAAAGGGCCCTTCTGGTTTTAATACGATTAAGCGTTGCCAAAAATGAACTGCACCTAGAAGAGCATCATTTGTACTTTGAAATTTTGCCCCTTTTTTAAATGTTAAAAAATGTTTCAATTACAGTTGACATACACTATTATATTAGTTTCAGGTGTCCACCCAAGTGATTATTAGACACCGTGCAACTTACAAAGCAATTATGCCAATGAAATCGCGCACCTGACAGCACAGAGTTACTGGAATATTACTGACTGTTTCCTCGGCTGTCCTTTCCATCCCCGTGACTGTTCTGTTCGTACCAATTTGTGCTCCTTCATCCCCTCGCCTCTTTCCCCCGCCCCCCCAGCCCCCTCCCACCTGGCAACCGTCAAAACGTTCTCTGTATCCAGGCATCTGTTTCTGTTCTGCTTGTTCATTATTTTGTTTTTTAGGTTCAATTGTTGATGGGTTTGTATTTATTGCCATTTTATAGATTTTTTTTTTTTAATCTTTTTTTCTCCTTCTCCATACGATACTGGTTTGGCGGTGATGAGCTCGTTTAGCTGTGTCTTGCCTGGGAAGCTCTTCACCTGTCACCGTCCGCTGGGCCGTCACTCATACTCTGTTCCCAGCCAGCCTCCAGCCCCAGTCCCACTGCCTTGCCTGCCCTGTCCGTGGTCATTGAGTTGCCACCATCCTGTGACTCTTTAACATGAGCTTCCGGGAACATGCTGCTGAGGCCTGGGGGTGGGGGGAGCCCTCTGGTTCCCTGCGAGCATTTCTGGAATTGGTTTCCCTTTGCCTAGTCTTTTTCCTGTCTCGGAGGGGCTTCTGGAACTGGACGCCGCATGTCGGTCTTGGCATGCATGGGGGGCTGCTGGCTGGGCTGGGACAAAGGCCCCTGACCCCTGGGACCCGGCCTCTCCGCAGCCCCTCGCCTGCCCTCTGCCCTTTAAGCTTGATGCCTGGTTGGCAATGTGCCCCCTGGATGCACTTGGATTTGCTCTTATTCCTTATTTATTTGACAAAAATCCAGTTAGTATATTCATGTGAAATAAAGAAATTTACAAAGGAGCCCTGGCTGGCGTGGCGCAAGTGGATTGGGCGACGGCCTGTGAATGGAAAGGTCTCTGGTTCGATTCCCAGTCAGGGCACAGGCCTGGGTTGCAGGCCAGGCCCCATTTGGGGGCGTGCGAGAGGCAACTAACTGATGTTTCTCTTGCACATCAGTGTTTCTCTTCCTCTCTTTCTTTCTCCTTTCCCCTCTCACTGGAAACAACATTTAAAAAGTAATAGTATTAACAAAACCTGCGAAGGTAAATTTTCGTAATCAGTAATATGATGATTAATGACAAATGCCATTTAAATCTATAGATTTAATGAGGTGGTTTAATGTTACCATTGATATACACAGAACGTTACTGCCACCTGGAGGAATTTTACTTTTAACTTTTTATATTACTCAGCAGGGGTGTGTGACTTAGTGAATTTAAAACCTCCCAACCCAAGACTGCAAACAAAACAAAAATAACAGATACATTGTATTGTCTCCACTAAGAATGTTAGTACTTAATTCCCTTTGTTCAGCTTCTTTTGGGCATTATCAGACTGTAGAACATTGCTGCCTTGTGAACTCTGCCAGGGAAACACTTGCAATTTTATCTGTGTGTCTGCAAATCCGTGCTGGCTGCTAGGTGTGGTGGGGTCTGCGCAGGCAGTGCACACCCTTCCTGCCTGTCGCTTGTCAGAGGGTCCCCTGCTGAGCCGTGGGCCCTCCCTGCAGGCTGCACTCTAGGCTGGCATGTGCCTCTTTCTAATGTTTACCTCGTTCCTCTAGGTTGCATTCAATTAATGTATTTTAAAAGACTTCTCTATTACTATAGTACATAGAAAAAGCTGGGAAGACAAAAGGGGAGAAGTGACTTTATAGATTTAGGAGGAGTTAGCACATGAGTTCTTCTTGCCTTCTCTCTCTCATCTAAAATAAAAACAAAACAAAACACAATGGACCTGCTATTTGGAGGTTGTGTACTTCATGTGAAAACTTCAAAGGCTTAGGAAATTTTAGTGTCTGAGAAGAAAATAGCTGAAAATGGGCATATTTTTCTCCAGTAAGATAGCCTTATTATCACAAGGTGAACTCTGCAGGGACCTGTAAGTGGCTGAGAACTTGTAATGTAGGGACCATTTGTGAACTGTCGTCTTCTTACTCATAATCGTTAACTCCTCTCAGTGTGTGCGTGTCTGAGGTGGAACATACCAGCTGATTTTACCACCTGCCTACCCGATGAGCTTCCAGTGCTGGAAGCAGAAATGAGATTCTCGAAGATGTTGAGAATCTTTTGCACCTTCATTTTAAAGTGAGGATGTCAGAGACATCATTGTTTTCGAGCTATGCAGGTGCACAGTGTGCGTGATTTTTACTGTTTGTTTTCTGTTATTTTTATAGTCAAAGGTTAGAAATAAGAGCACAAGTGGCTGACGCTTTCTTATCCAAGTTCCAACTCACTTCTGAGGAAATGAGTCTTCTCCGAGGCGTCAGAGAAGGACCTATCACTGAGGTACCTTACTTTTGTTACAATCATTTGAAGTGTAGCAGTTATGGATGCTAGAGGGAAAAGGTTAAGGCTTTATTTTACCGTTTAAAAAAAATGAAAATATTTTTAAGTTTGGAAATTGAGATGCATATTTTAAATTATTTTAATTTGTTTTATTGTTTTCAAAGCAGTACGTGTATTTTTTAAAACGAGGCCGGAGTACAAGGCGTGTAAAGAAAACCCACATTGCCTCTTCCACTCCTGCCATCTCTAAGTCCTTCGTCAGCCGTTTTCAACCCTGTTACTTGCCTCTATTGTAAATTCTGTTTTCTAGCTCTGTAGTTAAAAAGAGTACGCTTTTCTTGTAGTGGGAATGGAAAAGGCAGTAAGTTGCCCAAGCAAACGCGTTTAAAGGTTACTGTTAGTTATTTGTACTAAAGTTAGTGCTTTTCTCCCCTTGGTATCCTGGGGACAGGGGCTATGTAGGATAGTAAATCAATTATCAGAATAAACTATGTGTTCTTCGTTAACTACTTTCTGTTGGTTTCCTGTGATGGATTAGGAGGGTTCAGCCCCCCACCAGCCCCCTGCTCCACAGACACGGTCTCTTTCCTTCCTGCATCGCTGTCCAGTGACTTGGCCTTTTCTGTGTTCAGGACGATGACATTTCAGTGATTCCATGTCCTTCATTTTACAACTTTCTGTCTCTCCTTGAATTAAAAATCCCTTATTTTTTCATCTGACTAATCTTTTAACCTACGCCATCCTCTCCAAACGGACACAGAACTAGAAACAGGGAACTAAGAAGCAGGGAAACGTTTTCCGTGTCTATTTTTTACTTAAAGACGTTCAGTTTGCCCAGGAAGCAGTCTTGCACGCTCCTGACCGCGAGGAGCGCTCAGCCCCCAGCCGCGGCCGTCGCTCCGGGTCTGAGGCAGGGAGAGTTCTGGAAGTGGCTCTTGACGGCTGTCACTGTGACCCCGCCGTCTAGGCTGAGTGTGACCGTCACCTGGTCACCTGCGTGTTGGGAGGGAGGGAGGGGCGGGACTGGTAGGGGCCTGCCTTACTCAACAGTATTTGCTGCCCTTGTCGTTTGAGGAACTTCACACACTTCAAATAATTGACCTCTCGCCTTTTCTCCACTTGGTAGAAATAATAAACAGTATCAGAGGGGCTGTCTTTTATTTACATTTTATTCATCAAAGAAAAATAGCACATTCATTATTTTTAGGTTTAGAACACTATTTGGCTCTCTGGAAACTAAGGCTCCAATTACGTTTTTCTAAAATAAAAGTATCCTGGAGTTCAGCATCCGTCAGCTCTTAGGTATTTAACGAGCATCTTTTATGCGTGCAACTTTGCAGTCTACCCTTGGATATGAGGGCAAGAACAGGTGTATAAAAGATCACCTTTATTGATGAGAAAGTCTTGCTTAATTAAGTCATAAGATGTGTAATAGATAGCATATTTTTCTTTATGTAGTAATCTTTAGATTTGCATTTCTCTTACACTAGACTATGCACTTCCTAAGGACAGGGATTTTTTTAAATTAAATTTTATATCCCTGGCAGCTAGCACACAATCTGGCATATCATAGGCATTGAATTAACATCTGTTTTAAAATTTAAATCAATATATTATACCTTATATAAACACTTAGAGAAAGTTGAGAACAGTATAGAAAGGAGTAGAGTAGGTGAAAGGATGTTTGTCCTTTGACCTGATATTTGATATTAGAATAATGTGATTTTACTTGAAAACATGGATATTTTAAAGTTGCATTCTTAATTTTAAAGGATTTTTTCAAGGCTTTGGGAAGAGTAAAACAGATTCATAATGATGTCAAAGTTCTCCTGCGTACGAACCAACAAACAGCAGGGTGAGTAACCGTTTCAGTTTGTAATTGCCTTGCCTCTTATATCTCCAAAGTTTAAAAACATTTAGTTTCTTTTTGAAAAAGTTTAATCTTCCTGTATCTTCGGATGAGGAGGGAGCTGTAGCCTGATGTGCTTAGAGTAAAACAGCAGTTGGGTTAGTGACAGTGATAAAATTTGACATTTGTTTAATTATAAAAAATTGAAAAATTATTTTATAAAGTGATAGAAAACTAACATGATGGAACCAAATCCTTCCGTAATTAACAAAATAATTAGGCTCTTGGATGTAGGCTGTTGGCTAAAAGTTTAAATTATAATAAATTTTTATTTATTTATTGTTTAGTTTAGAAATTATGGAACAGATGGCCTTGCTTCAAGAAACAGCTTATGAAAGACTTTATCGATGGGCTCAAAGTGAGTGATGTCTTTCCTGTGGTCTGAATTTGGGAATGTCGGTGTCAGAATTTTTTTTTAATCTTACTTGGTCTTTATTTCATATAATATTTTGATTTTAGTTATCAAAAAGTATTTTTAGCCCTGACTGGCGTGGCTCAGTGGATTGAGTGCCGGCCTATGAACCCAAAGGTCACTGGTTCGATTCCTTGTCAGGGCACATGCCTGGGCTTGGGCCAGGTCCCCATTTGGGGTTGTGCAGGAGGCAGCCGATAGATTTATCTCTTGCACATCCACATTTTTCTCCCTCTCTTTCCCCCTTCCTTCCCTTCTCTCTAAAAATAAATAAATAAAACATTTTCTAAAAAAATATTTTTAAAAAGAGAAACAAATTTTGCATTTGAACATACCATCTTTATATTTGTATTATGAACATCTAATACCAGTCAAGCGATCTGTTGATTAAGGATGGAAATTTTTTAAAAAGGCAATATTTCTACATCATTTTATCTAGATTAGACTATTTTAAAGCTGATTAGACATCTCTTGTTATCTACATAAATTTATTGTAAATGGTGAAATAACTTTTTATTTTTACTGTTACAAATTGCCATAAGCTTAATGGTGTAAGACAACACAGACTTACTCTCTTGTAGTTCTGCGGGTCAGAATTCAGATGGGATTCTCACCCCACTAAAACCGAAGTGTGGGCACAGCCCCCCCATTTCTGGAGGCGCTGAGGAGTCATGTGTTTCCTCATTCGCTCGGTGTGTCGGGCTCAGTCAGCCCCTCGAGCCTGCGGTCCCTCAGTCTGAGCATCCTTGCGGGCTGTGGCTGAGGGCTTGCGCCAGGGTTTAGAGGCTGCCTGCATTCCTTGGCTCGTGGCCTCTTCCTCCATCTTTAAAGTCAGCACTGGAGGATGGAGCCACTCTCTCGCCTTCAGTCTCTCCTGACTCTTCTCCCATCTACATCTCTGACCCACTCCTCTGCCAGCCTCTTCCACTTGTAAGTCCTGTGCAATGACTACGGACCCACTTAGGTAATCTGGGAAAATTGCCCTATTGTCTATCACCTTAATTCCATTTGCAAAGTATCTTTGCCCTGTAAGGTGGCCTCCGGGGACTAAGGGCCTTTGGAGGGCCGTTATGTTGCCTCCCACATGTGATTTATTTGCTTTAGTCTTATTTCAGTAAGTTCACAAAATTGCCTATTAAAACCAGTGAAGGTGGTTGGGACAGCAGGAATGAACAGGAGCACAGATATTTTAATAGGTGTCACCAACTGACTTGGGAGGAGGTGGGATTAAGTCCAGTTAGCCAGTAACCCCTGTACCATCCTGTGAAAGCCTGTTACCTGGTTCGGATGATTTACCCTTTACCTCCAGAGTGTGTTCCTTTCTCTACCTCCCTTTCGTTTGCACTGTTTACCCCTGTTCGGAACGTTGCCTCTTTCTCTGTTCATATAAAAGTCCTGCCTCAGTCTTCAAAGCTGAGCTGGGCTCTGCGACATTGTATCCCCGTAACTTTCATGGAATCACAGCGACTTTTCCCCATCTCCAAACACTAACTGTTGGAAACATTTATTTGGCATTCAATAATTCCTACTCTATTCTTGCCCTTGGTATATGTATGTCTGCTCTCCAGTTAGATTTCTTTCTCAAAGGCACAGCGTTGCCTCAGATTTCTTTGCGCTCCCACGACATCTAAGGCAGTGGTTCCAAACGGTGGGCCTCTGACGCCTAGACCTGTACGGCGTCTCCATTTTCATGTGTGCATCCCTGTGAGAACATGTAAGCGTGCTGAGAATATAGCACTAGTGCGAGGTCCTCGCATACCAAAGGCTGAGAGTTCTTGAACAAGTATGAAGTTCTTGGAACATAGTGGACTCTTTAATAAGTATAGTAAAATAAAGAAAAACTGGTGTAGGGGTTTTTAAAAGCTTAAAATCCAGACTTTTAAAATTATAACCTTACTGCTACCTGTGAGTTATCCATATAGACCTTTTCAGCATAGCGCGTACAGATCTCTCCCCGGGGGAGGAACTGGCAATACATTTTTCGCCCTCCCCGTCCCACACGTCCCCGCGTGTCCCCGTGTGCGTGGCAGTACGCAGGGCTGATGGTGTTAATTACCTTGCAGGCGAGTGCCGAGCGCTGACGCAAGAGTCGTGCGACGTGTCTCCCGCCCTGACCCAGGCGATGGAAGCCCTGCAGGACAGGCCTGTCTTATACAAGTTAGTGCCTTTTCCCAACGAGAAGAGACGAGCCCGACTTTCACTCTGATAGTTTACGTTGACTTTCGGCATTATTAAATACAGTGGTGGCGTGAGTGATATTTGTAATTACTTACAATGATATTTCATCGCGTGTCGTGTGTGTGTATCAACGCTAGCGTCCATTTATTGGCCTGTGATGTGCTACGGGACGCAGTACAGAGGGGAGACCAGGGTGTCCCCGCATGTGGATGACCCCTCACACGGAGGCAGAGATTGACGGGCTTTCCCGCATGTGCCATCTCATTAGCTACCTCGGATTGTGAGTAAAACTCCTGAAGGGTCCCTACCGTGGAGAGATTGAGGTCAAACAGAGCCCTGAGAGATGAGAAAATTATCAATTGGATTAATAGGATTCTGGGAAAGAATGGGGTCAGGTCTCTGACCCCGGAAGGTATTGTCGCCAAGGGCTGTGGGATGGTGCTTTGAACAGGAACCTACGCATGGTTAGCTTGTTCACATGTTTTTTCTTATTCTGCATTTTAATTTTATTATTTTACTTCTCATGTAAAATAAAAGGAAGTATTTTTTTATTTTTAATGCCTTGAGGAATATGAAAATAGGGAGACCAAGGGGGGACTTATGACTCAGGAAACAGAAGGCGGGGGACCGCTACACGGTCCCTGAACCCTGCTCGGAGTCATGCCGTAAAGAGGCTCGAAATAGTTTTAGATTTTCTCCTTACTCTGCGTTCTGAGTGGAACACGACTGTGCTGGTGATAAGGTTCTAGAACACAAACGCTGGGACAGGCGTGTAAAAAGAACAGTCCAGTGCTTTTTACTGAGTACCTGAGTCTGTGTTAGGCAGAGCTATAAGCGCTAGGGACACAGCATCAGGTAAAACACTGCCCTCAAGTTGCCTTATTTTACGAAACCAGATAGAAGCACATCCACGTCAGGGAACGCACTCACCGCTGTTCTGGGGGTCGCGTCTCAGGTGCCTCGGGGCTCAGCATTCCGCGGGGGGCGGGGGGGGGCGGACGATAGGGAGGGTTTCCTCTGGGGAGCAGGTCTCCGTGGGTTCTGAAGGCTGACTGGGCTTTTCCCGGGAGGAGAGGGAGGTGGCAGCTTCCTGCGCCGCCGGGGGAACCTGAGATGTGGGCCGAGGAAGAACGTGCGGCTTGGAGCAGGGGTCGCGTGCGTTGGCGCCGGCCCCGGGGCCGGTGGTGAGAGCCAGGTCGTAAGGGCTGGAGGTGCGGTGCACGGGCCTGCCGTCCGCGGACAGCCACTGGGGGCCGCCGGCTCTGCAGCCTGCGTCTGCTTTGGGATTTCTTTCCCAGCATTTTCCCTGTAAGACACCGGTGTTCGATTATGGGTCACTTAGTACTAAAACGTTTGGTGATTGATTTTAATAAGTGTGGCATTGTCCACAGATTCATATTTGTTCACAAGGTTAATCTTTTTTTAAAGAAAATGCCTTTGCGTGTTTTGGACATTGGAAAAGGTCAGCTGGCTTCTACCGTGTGAATACATTTTCACTGCATTTTGATCTGGGAGCAGCACTTGGGACGGAGCAGCCCTGCCCCGAGGCCTAGCGTGGGGGCCCGGAGTTGGCGCCACGGCGCCTTGGGGAGCCTCTGCTTCCGTGGCTGTAAAACGAGGATAAAAACAGGGCCCATCCTACAGGGTCCTTGAGAAAATCAAATCAGGTTTTCCACATGAGGTGTTCCGCCTAATGCTTCGCTCATCACTACATACCAGCCATTATTTCTGTTTTGAAAAGAGGTAACCTGGAAAGTTGTCACCTGAGAAATGGCGCAGTTAGGGTCCCCACGACAGCCAGGCAGGCAAAGAGGAGGACTGTGACCGGAGGGGGCAGGATCGGCCTCCGAAGGGCACGTGCCGGGGCGGGCGCAGGGGCGTGGGCGCGCGAAGGCCAGCGGCAAAGGGCGCTCCTAAGGCCAGTCGGTTACCAGGAGGCGAATGCTGAAGAAGAGAAAATTGGCCTTTGGTGAAGTAGTCCCGTATTTTCGAAGTGGCAGTAGATTCTTTAAATTTAGCAAAACGTAGTGTATCATATTAACCACCAGATGGCACTGTATGAACTTTGTTTAATATGCAGTCGCTTCACTCTTCACTATTGTGTCTCAGATGCGTAGGTATCGTGTATAAGGAAAATGTCAATTATTGAAGTCCTTGGGGAAGGTGGCTGTACTCAGTTTTTGTTAGCATGTAACTGGAATGCCAGTGCATTATTAACTTTTGCTAAGTCAAGTGTAGAAATTTCTTTACAAAGAAATTTATTATACATGGAAATTAAAAACATTGATGTCTTCTTTCCTTTGGTAAACCTTCAGAATATAAATTATTAAAGAATGTAATAGATACAATACTGCCCTTCTTACAGAGGCTTTTTCACTGTCCTTTTATTGTTTTGATGAAACTTCTTTTGTCTTTTAATTTGCTTTTTGACCACAAGTTTCCTTCCTTCCTTCTTTCTTTTCACAAGAGCTATATATAATAAAAAAATGAGGGTTTTTGATTTTAATTTAAGTAGAGGCATTTTAGAATATTCACATAATTTTACTTCACCTTTGTAAATGTAGCATTTTGGATTTTTGACCTTTGTTGGAAAAGAATCTGGTCTTGGTCAAAAAGTTTTCTCACGTCTCTGGAAAGAGGTGTTTCATGTCTACAGACATCGTTGAATGTTGATCGTAGCTCGTATTGTTCTTGCTTCAAATTATATCTGTTGTGTAGTAAGATCGATGTTAATATTCATGTGTATTGTTGTTTTATACCATTATACAGATTAGATTCCACTGTTTGTCAGGTTTGATACCCCTCCCCCCGCCCCCTGTAAAATGCCAGTGGTTTCTCGTGTAACTTTGGTCACAATGAACAGCCCTAGAAACAGAAGTTACATTGTTCCTGTTTATTTTTGTCTGTTGGGCCCTGCCAGCGAGGATTAGTTTTCTATATTTAAAAAGCTGGAAGTTTGTGAATTTTGATCTGTGATAAGTAGTCATTGGATCAAAGTCATTCTTAGAATTGGTGATTGTTTAAAGGAATGCGGTTTTCACCCTAAAACATTCCGAATTTAAGAACATGAGGGAGGAAATTGAAGTGAGCATTTTGGTTATAATTTGTTTTAAAAAGTAGCGCAAGGCATCTGTGCAGTTTAAGAAAACTCATCTTGACATGGTCTTCGCGTTGACCTGTGGCTGGGGCGTCACTGCGGGGAATCGCAGGGGCCCCCCCATTTACCGGGAGACACACTCAGAGAGGCGGGGGCTGGGGGCGGCTGAACGGGCCTGTTGAAAGGCTCGGATTCCTAAACACTTGCAGTGACCGACTGCTTTGCTATACTTTCCCTTTTATTTAAAAATATTCTCTATGCCAGCTTGTGTTATAAAAAAATGCATTTCATTCAATCAGTAGCATAATAAAGAACGCGGTGTAGCTGAAGAAATTAACTTTTTGGAAACCTTTGAGAAATTCTGGTAACTCTAGTGATAAAATAATTCTTAATATTTAGTCTATCAGAATACTGTTTAGGGAATTATAAGTTACTGGGTCTAGAATCTGCTGCCATTGGACTGTGAAAAAAAATTTGTGTTTCCCTGAGTACTTCTAAAATAGAGAGAACTTTAAATTGGGTGATGGTTTCAAGGAATGGGGGAAACAAGGGGTGATTTTAGTCAAAGGAGTGGGCGCCCGGGGCCACTCCAGGCCATCCTAGAATTTTACCCCAGATTGTTTGATATCCCAGTTTAAAGTTTCCCTTCTCTTAAAATTCCCTCACCTTAGAAAGTGCCCACTCCCAGCCCTTTTAAAATACAATTGATGCTGTGTAAACATACGTAAAAGAGAGTTCTTTGCTTTGTACGCCTAGGTGGTCAGTTAACTTAAGAATCATACCTAACATGGGAGTCAAAGTAAGCAACTTTTGGCGGTAAACTGTGATAGTAGGTGTGGAGGAGAGGTTTTCAAGGTAGAAGGAAAGGCTGGTTTTTGGGGTGTGGAGCTGTACTTATGGGCCCTGAGGACAGGCGAGCAGGCCCATGTGAGGGTGGAGCATCGTGCCTGGACCCTGGGACCTGGGCACCCGGCAGTTCCCCCTCCGCCCCGGCTGCTGCTTTTGCCAAATACCACGAGTTTTTTACCTGTTGTTTTATTGGGCTGCCCCTGTGGCGGATCCCAGGTCCCAGCATTCTTTCCTAAGGGAGTAAAAATGTGCCTGGAGATCGCGTCTTCATTGTGACCAGTTATTTCCTATCTTTTGTTGTTGTTTACAAACCGTGTTGCCTGAGAGAGTTGCAGGCAGAAGCGTTAGGTGTCCCGCTTATCTTAGAAATTTCATGACTCGTTTGATACAGCCGTTGGGAAGAAAACCAGCCCTTCTTCACGGAACCCGTGTCTCCTAGGTACACCTTGGATGAATTCGGAACGGCCAGGAGGAGCACGGTTGTCCGTGGGTTTATCGACGCTCTCACGAGAGGGGGCCCGGGAGGCACCCCTAGGCCCATTGAGATGCACTCCCATGACCCTTTGAGGTATGGTCGTCAGACAGCGTTGGCGTGCTTGGTGCTTTCCTGGAGGAGATGCTTGCTAATGCACGTTTTTCTCATTAGATATGTAGGAGACATGTTGGCCTGGCTCCATCAAGCCACTGCTTCTGAGAAAGAACACCTGGAAGCTCTCTTGCGGCATGTGACCGCACAAGGTAAGGCGGGTCCCCCAGGTGCTGCTGCCCCTGCCCTAGCCCAGGCAGGAGCACCGGACGTCCCTGCTGCCGTCCTTCCCTGCTGCTTCCCGGAGGCGACCGTTCCACATCTGCGAGGCTCAGTGAGCGCCTGCTTGGTCTCCTCTTCCAGGTGCCCCTGTTTCTGCCAGTAAACGGCCCTGCACCCCTTTCCGCCTGTCCCACAGCTGCTCACAAGCGACAGTGGCCCCTCGTTACCTTGCACGTCGAGCCCGGGCTCCTCGGCGGCGTGTGCGGGGCGCTGCCTTGGCATGGGCAGTGGCTGAGGCCCTCCCTGTCCTCACCTTAAAGGTGTCTTCGCCCCAGAGGGGGTGGCGTCTTCGTTGTAGCCGCTGGGAGGCGGACTGAGCGACTGCGTGCGGCCATTGGCTGCCCGCACTGCCCACCCTCCTGTTCATTCTCACGTGACAGTTTTAAAGGTTTTCTGTTTTTTTTTAATGAATAATTACCTATTTTAGCTTTCATGTCAAGGAAGAAAAATGACTTCTTCTTTTGGTTGCCTGTGCTTCTGTTCACAGAATTTCAGATCTGTTGTGACTGCCTTGAGTGTGGTTGAAGGAGGTGGCTGATGGGGAGTTACCATGTCCTGGGGCTTCTTTGGTTTTCTTTTTTAAAAAAGATTTTATTTATTTATTGTTAGAGAGGAAGGGAGGGAGAAAGAGAGGGAGGGAAACATTAATGTGTGGTTGCCTCTCGTGTGCCCTCAACTGGGGACCTGGCCCAAAACCAGGCATGTGCCCTGCCTGGGAATCGAACTGGCGACCTTTTGGTTCAGGGTACGATGCCCATCCCACTGGGCCACACCAGCCAGGGCAAGATGTTCTGGTTTTGATAGGAAGTGAAAAGGAGTATTGTGACTGGCGTCCCCTCTGCTTTCGCAGAGCGTGGCTCCACGTCATCCTGGGTCAGCGCATGACCCGCAGGAGGGGCTGGTGGCGAGGCTTGACCTCTTCATCGTTCAGCCGTTGGTGCTGAGATCAGACCCGCAGCCTCCCTGCTAGAGTGGCACAGCGTCTGTGCTCTCTAAAGTTGTTTCATGTGATCCTAACTACCTAGTTGAAGAGAACGTATTGCTTAAAAGATGTTTCAGTGAAATTAATGTGAGAGGCAGCATTAAGAGGTAGGAAGAGAACAGACTGTGGAGTTACACGAAATAGGTTGTTCTGTGGGAATGGCTTAATTCATCCTAAGACTTGGCTTTACCATCTGTAAAAATGAAGTTGGTTGGGCTATGGCTGGGTAGTTCGTGGGTTACAGCGTTGCTTTCCCCTGCACCAACCCCCCAGTCCCCACAATACACCAAGTTTGCAGGTTTGATCCCTGGTCAGGGCACGTACGCGAATCCACCAGTGAATGCATAATTAAGTGGTGCAACAAATTGATGTTTCTCTCTCTGTCTCTCTCTGTTCCCTTCATCTCTCTCTCTAAAAATCAATTAAAAAAAAATGAAGGTGGTTATAAGCAGTAAATGTCAAGTGCTGAGTGCAGAGCTTGATAAACAGTAGTCCTTTAGTAAATGTGAGCTTTTCCATTAGCTCGCAAGGTGTGGTTTTCATCTTTCTACCCTCAGGTTTTGTGTCCTTCCTCACTGCCTGGAATAAGATGTTTGTAGAACAAATGCTAACACATCTTCGCATCTCTTCCCTCAATTAATACTATTTTACAGTCTGCTTTTCCTGTGACTCATATATTTACTTTTTCACACAGAAATAATGTTCACTTTATTAATCAACAGTTAAGTAAGTTAACATGGCTCTAAACTCAGATATTAACATAATTAGTAATGCTCTAAGAGATACTGAACTTATAAATATGAATAATGTCATTTTAAATGTTTGTTGTTGGTGCCAGTATTCATATGCCTTATTGTTTGTTAGTTTTTTTAAGTGTATGTGAAGCAAAGTGTAATATGGCGAAAATTTTTCAGTAATGTTATAATTAATTCTAGGTGTTGAAGAAAACATTCAAGAAGTTGTTGGGCATATCACTGAGGGTGTGTGCAGGCCTCTAAAGGTAAAATATTTTGCTTTTATATATGTTATATGGTATCTGGTTAAATTATTGCCTTATTATGAGTTTAAATACACTGATAACAGCTTGAATTAAAGCTGTGACGTCTGCGTCGGTGTCTTCCTGTGCAATGGCTCCCGGGAGCGTGGCCTCCAGCGACGCCTTGACCTCCCCAGCCTCCCCAGCCTCCGTGAGCTCCACATCCGGGTGGCCTGGGACCGGAAAGCCAGGCCCGAGCCGTCCCGCCGTCCCAGCGCCGCGCCGCCACCCACCGTGCTGCGCATGGTACTGGAGGCGCTACAGGCAGGCGAGCAGCCCGGGGCACCTCGGTGGTGGCCATAAGGTTTCTATCCTGCAGGGGTGCCCTGCAGTAGACGCCCTCCGGCTCAAGAACCTGCTCACGCGGGCCCTGGACCCCGGCACGCAGCGCGGCCTCCTCGTCAGGCCCACCAACCCCAAGGCCAAGGGGGCCACCGGCAGCTTCAGATTAGTTCCCAGGCGCACAAAGAAAATCAAGCCCAGGAAGACGCCCACCATGTCAGCCCCCAGGAGCCTGCTGAGGCCAAGGAGGAGGCCCCCAAGAAAGGTGGCCAGACCAGGGATGGAGAGGCAAGAGTGAGCAAGGCCAGGAAGGTCCCCCGACAGCCAGACAAGGCCATGAAGGCCCCTCCTCGTGCCACTGGGTCCTGTGGGAAGCCAAAGGGTAAAGGCAGAAAGAACAGCCCAGGTGACAAGGCCCACAGGAAAACCTAGGCTGGGACTCAGAGGTCAAAACCCGCGGTCACCAAGGGCGAGGATGGTGCCGTTTTCCCAGCCAAAAAGAAGAGCGGGAGCACCGTCCCCAAAGAGGCCGCCGCCCAGGGGGCCAGGCAGAGGTCAAAAGCCAAGGCTGCTGCTGCTCCTAAGGCCTGTGTGTCCAAGACCGTACCTGCTGCTCTTAAGGACAGTGTGTCCAAGACCGTACCTGTACCCCTGGCCAGAAAGACAGAGGTCGCCAAGGCCCAGGAAGGCCTGGCATGCCCACGAAGGCTTCGTCACCCAGTGGGACCAGTAAGAAGACAGAAGCCAAAAGCTAGAGGCAGGGTGGAAAGAGACTAAAATTCTGTTGGAGTTTTTATTCCCCTGAAAACCATTACTCTCCTTATATCACTGTAACTTACTTATCAATAAAAAATCCCCCCCCCAAGCTGTAATTTTGTCAAATTAACACATTAAGGAAGGATAATAAGATACATTTAAAAATAATCATTGTCAGTTTTCTCTCCAAGAAATTCGAGACATTCTTAGTTGGTTTATATTATCTATTATGTTTCTCATAGTAATTTGTCAATTGGTTGAGGAAAAGAGTATGTTAAATTGAAGTAACTAATCTCTGAACCCTTAACAGATTTACTAACATACTCCGTTTACTTTATTGCTTCAAGTGTAGTAAATTTTTGTTACAGCAATAAATAATGGTAAATCCAAGGGTAGTACGGATGTTATTATCATTGCTATTTATAGTACAGAGAACAGAACTTGAAGTCAAAATTAAAATTCCCACTTTGCAAATTAGTTGCGTTTACTTGTTCAAATTGCCTAACTCTTCTGCACCTTAATTTGCTCACCTCGAGCCTATGCATAAAACACCTGCTGCCAAGGGTTGTGGGGACAGAGAAAACGATATTGATGAAGGATGTACGGTTCCAGCATTGACGAGGCCTGCGGTGGATGTTCTTTACTAAAGAATTTAGTAAATTCTTTACTAAAATTTCCAGGGTCATTTGCAGTTGTTGGTCTACTTTTCCTTGTTGATTGACTTCAGTTTACTATGTAGACACTGAACTCTGGAAGTTTTATGACTTATTCTTACCAAGAACTAAATTTTAAAACTTCATTTTTTCTGTTTCTAAGATGTGCTTTGGTCTTTTGTTTCAGGTGGGAAAATCCCAGGTGATACAACTTGTCACATCTTTAATTATTACTATTATAAATATTGTAATTAGGCAAATATGTTGGTGCTAATTTAAGACTTACCCACTCTTCTATTCTCTAATTAATATAAAAAGGAACTGGATATGGTAGTTTAAAGATAAAAGTTCTTTCATTTTTTCCTGAATACTTGGTGAGAGAGCAGTACATTTGCACTGGGAATCTGTTTTTAGGGGTGTAACATTTCCTTTGCAATTTAGTGCTGAACTGCATTCCATTCTTATATACTGGTGAAAAACCTCAGAATGATCTCATTATTGTTTTGATCATTTCTGGTGACAACCGCCTTGAGCCTAATTCGGTAGGTAATGGATAATTTTTTGGAGAGCATCTCTGTGTTAAAGTGTTTTTGTTATTTTACCATCCCCTATGATTTAATATTCAGAAATCCTTTATTTAGAAGGAATTTTATAATGTTTACAGCAATAAAATTTTATCATTTTTTTAATGCTTCTCCTAACACGTGATGAATGAAGAAAAGTTATGCTTCTAAGAAACGTTTAATATTTTTCTCACATGTTTTAATAGGTTCGGATTGAACAAGTAATCGTTGCTGAACCGGGGGCAGTTTTATTATATAAAATTTCTAACCTCCTTAAATTTTATCATCATACAATCAGGTGAGTGAAATGATTGAATGTGCTCGTTAAACCCTGCGGTGCCTTGTTCCGGTCAGAGCGGCGTAAGATGGGCCTGCGTTGACTCGTGGAGCCCCCCGGGGCGAATGAGGCGTGGGAGCGCTGTCTGCGGGCTCCGTGTGCTCTCTGTCCTCTGAGGCGCGCCGTGGCCGTGGCCTTTCCTCTGCAAGCGTGGCCAGGCCCACGCTCCCACACACGGGCACACACGCAGCTTACAGAACGGGGCAGGGCTGTCCCGCATCCGTAGGGGAGACCCGTGGCTCCTGGAGCGTCTATGTATAACACTCAGAATAGGGCATAGCGAGGGGAGTGGCCTGTGCTGGAAGGAGATTACATAACTTCTTCTCTACCCTTTGGTTTTCTGTTAGTGACAGAACAGAACCATAGCTTTATCTTCTCTAAATGAAGCGGCTTTGGTGTCTCTAAATAAAATCCACTTTATCTGATTAGGAACCTCTGGTTTTATTTAAAATTTAAGTTTTGACTCCAAAGTTTATATTCTTTGTGCTTTGCGTGGAGCCGTTGATGGCCCGCAGCTGAACTTTATTATGTCGCCCTAAGGAAAAAGGACTCATGGCCTGGACAGCAGTGGGGGGTCGCTGGGGGGAGGGTGGTGTGAGGGCACTAACTGGTAATGGACAAAATACCATGAAGGTTAAAGAAAAAAGAATGTCGCATGTGTAGTCGGGGTAAAACAGTGTCCTTTCAAGCTTTATTTTTGATAGTTTCCATAGTAGTCTATAAAAAAGGATTTAAAAATTACTTTTATGTGGTATGACAGTATCAGGAACAGAACGCCAGCAGTTAAAATCCAAGAGACTTAGCGTGACTCACAGATCAGGGAGAGGAGCAGGGATCACCGGTTTGCAAAGCACTGAACGACTGTGGCGGTGATGCTCCCTGCCTCCCGCGGTCCAGGTTCGCCTCCCGCGGTCGACGGTAGCCTCCCCAAGGTCTCAGCCAAGAGGTGGAGCTCCTATCTGATCAGTAGTGGATTTCAAACAAAACCAATGCCTCACAAAATTGATCAGAGGTAGGATTTGGGTGAGGCCTCAGACGTTTTTGATAGAAACTTGTTATCAGTTGCCATGACTCAAAAGCAATAAATGAGTTTCGGCTGTGAGGTATATCGGCTTCCTAAAAGGAGAGAATACGCATACTTAGGAGCTGACGCAGCTAACACGCAGCTTATGCTGTGTTATGCAACAGCAGTGGTAAATATTTACGTTACCTATTCAGTAATGCTCATATGGTACTGTAAGAGATTTATTATTTGAAGGTAATGATAACTCAAGTTCTAATGTAGAGAAGGCGAAGATTAAAATCATTGGGATTCTGAACACAGTAGTAGGTTTTAAGGCTCTGACAATGATAATTTTCCTATATTTGAAGATGAGAATTTTGAGGATGACCTGACCTAAAGACAGTTAAGATCTTTTGCTACATTTTTGCATGTGCTTTTCTACTTGTTCGCACATTTTCACATTTAGTCCATCAAAACGTTGACTATAAATGTCACTGTTCCAGGTTCTAAGGAAATGGCAGTGAACAAAACACGGTTTAAAGCGACCTTCTAGTGGCAGGGACCAAACAAGTGTAACGTAATTTCAGGTCGTGTGGTGGGGGCACAGAGGAGAGGTGAGCGGGGCCCAGGGAGCAGGCAGTATAGGGAGTGACCCAAGGGCGTAGGTAGGTATGTGTGTGGTTTTGGGCTTTTTTTGTTTTTTGGGTTGTGTATTTTGATATCCAGAAGTTTAACATGTTTTTTCTGTGTGTGTGCGTGCGTGTGTGTGTGTGTGTGTGTGTGTGTGAGTGAGATTGTTTTCGAAGGTCTTTTGGTGGGTGTGATAATGAGGCCTGAATAACGCGAAGGGGCTGGGGTCGAGAAGGTCTTGGAGGACGGTGCCCCAAGTACGGGCACGCCCCTGCCTGAGGCCGAGATTACCTGCCTCGGGGAGGGCGGGAGGGGACAGTGGCTGGGGCAGAACGGCTGGGAAGGAGCAGGGGGAGGTGAACTCACGGAGGTGGGCAGAGGTTGGCCTCTGTAGGCTGGGCAGGGATTTAGGTTTTATCCCGAGGGGCTGGGGAAGGCGTGGGAGGGTTTTGAGGGGCTGGTGCTGATCGCCGGTGTCGGTGACCCCGTGTACGTGTGGATCCCGTGATGCAGTGCGGCAAAACGGGAACAGAGAAGGTATCTGGGAAGCAGGTTGTGGTTCTGAACGAGATGATGAGGCGTTAAACTAGGGTGATAGGCTTGGAGGTGATGAAAAATAGGTGGTTCTGAAGATACTTTTATGTTACGGGCAGTTGGACGTGTATATGGACTAGATGAGGTGAGATGTGAGGAGTCCAGGAGGGATTCTTGGCTTCTGGTGTGAACAGGTGGATGCATGGTGTTGGCATTTGCCGGGATGGGGAATTCTGGGGAGGGCTGGGCTGATGAGGGTGGGGGGGTGGTGAGGGACGCGGTTCCGCTTTGGCTGTTAGATGTGACGCAAGCTGAAAGAAAATACTAAAACAAAATGGTAAAAGGTGGAATTAAATTTCTGTGATAAATTAGAAATAAAAAATCAGAGTGGATTCTGTGTTGAAAAGATCAACTAAATTGATAACCTCCTAGCAATTCTTTCACCAAGGAAAAATAAAATACCAGAAATCAGAGATGATTACCAGAGATGAGGATGAAAGCCTTAGAGAATACCATGTTAAAATTTATTAATTTTCTGTTGAAATAATCTAAAAATCTGACTTAAAAAATAATGTTATGCCTTGGCCTGGAGTGTCCTCCCGTGCACCAAAAGGGTGCGTAACTGTGTTGCAGGTTTGATTCCCAGTCAGGGCAGGGGAGGGAGGCAACTGATGCTGGTTTCTCTCTCTCTCTCTCAAAGTCAATAAACATATCATGGGGTGAAGTTTTTTTTTAAAAGTGATTTTTAGAAATATACATTAATAAAAATGACTTAAAAAGAAAAGGAAAACTCATGGACATGGGCACTGGAGTAATTGTTTTTAATTTACAGGTTATTGTCTGTATAAAAACTTTTATTTATAATTCTTTTATAATTAAAAGAAGAATTCTTTTAATTTTTCTCTAAAGAATTCTTCTCAAGGAACTGAATTTTTAGTCTGTTTTGCAACCTGAAATATTCTTTGCTTTCAGTGGCATTGTTGGAAATAGTGCAACTACATTGTTGACTACCATTGAAGAAATGCATTTGCTGAGCAAAAAAATATTCTTCAATAGCTTGAGTCTTCATGCAAGTAAATTAATGGACAAGGTATGTTTGAAGAATGCAGTTCTTAAACTGTGTGGATGTGTATCTTTCACAGTTAATGTTTTGCTCTTTGTATGTGGGCGACAATCTCTACCCATTCCATGCAATGGTCTTTTGAGTTCTTCCTATGAACAACAAAATTCCCTCTGAGACGGCCAACTGGACCTAGATTAGTAGTCTCTGTCCCTGGAGCAGTGTACTAGGGTCGTAATTGGAGATAGAAGCTCAAGCCCTAGTTTCACTACCATTTTTCTATAAACAAAAATTTGTAACTACATCAAAGGTACTATATTTGGATCAGGGCTAAAATGGCATACAGGTTAGAAAGCTGGAACTCTTACTAATAAATGTTTTTTCTGAACAGCTTACTTGTATTTTTACTCTTTGATGATCCAGCTTCGTCCTTACGAAATTTATGCTCCTTTGAGTTTAAATGCTATAATTAACTATGAAAACAAACAAGATAACAACCCCTCCCCCAAGGAATAAAATCAAATAACAACCACCACGGAAACCTGAAAAAAACCCTAGGAAAGCTAGTATTTCACATTGAGCAGCACCTGTGGCAGGACCCAAGGGAATGGGTTTATAATGACCAGATCCTTCTTTATTTTTGTTTAATTATCTCTTATTCTTTAAAAAAATAACTTTGATATAACACAGACCCTGTAATTTTTAAAGGGTGCCTCAGAGCCACTGTGCTGGTTTCTCCTCCTTTTTAATTGTGCCACTGTGTGAACGGCCTCGTGAAACCAGGCGCGGGTTGGTAAGGGCTTGTGGAGCTGGCAGTGGCTCCGGGCCGTGTTTACCGCCCTGAGCTCAGGCGGCCTCACCGGCGGTTTTCCTTCTGGCCCCCGCACATGATTCAGGTTCTCGTGGAAAAGCGCCATGAACTTGTAGAGCCGGAGTACTGGTCTTATATTTTTCCCTGCTTTCTGCATTTCTGTTTGCCCAAGAAGTTTACTGACAGTCCTTCAATTCTGGTTATGAATATGTTTATAGGCATTTATTTATACATTAAAATTTAGTGAAAAAAAATATAAGCAGTGGATACCCCGTATCTTATTTTAGGTTGAACTCCCTCCGCCTGATCTTGGGCCAAGTTCTGCATTAAATCAGACACTGATGTTGCTGCGTGAAGTTTTGGCATCTCACGATTCTTCAGTTGTACCATTAGATGCCCGTCAAGCTGATTTCGTGCAGGTATAATGTAAATTTATATTTAATGATTGCTTATTACTTCCTCTATTGTAAATTCTGTTGAAATTCTGGTATTTTTATATTTTGGCAAACCCCCTCACTGACTTTTTTCTTCAAATATTAAATCAGTTCTCTTTAATTTAAAAAGTATTTGTTCCGTGATGCTCATTTGAAAAACTATTCCGATGTTCTGATTTTTGATTTTTAATCTTTTTTTTTTTTTTTTTTAACTGCTTTTGTGCGTCGGCCCCCTTCCAGCTATAGTTTGGCATTCACCCGAAGTGCCATGGACCCAGGCCTGTATCACTGATTGGGAATGAAAGATGACCCTTTATTTTATTTTTCCTGTACAGGTTTTATCGTGCGTCTTGGATCCCCTGCTCCAGATGTGCACGGTGTCCGCTAGCAATTTAGGTACAGCTGACATGGCCACGTTCATGGTCAACTCACTGTATATGATGAAGACGACGTTAGCCATGTTCGAATTCACTGACAGGCGTCTGGAAATGCTGCAGTTTCAGGTGAATTTTGCCGTAAAATGACAGCCACCGCGACGGCATCTTTTTTCTCGATGTCCCTGGCTCTCTGCCCCGATGGCCTGCGAAGCCTTTGTTACCGTCTGATGGAAGGCCACATGCACCTGTCTGCACACGCATGCGCATGCTCATCCCTTCGCTTTGTTTTGCAGAGCTCAGAATGTGTGTTGGGGAGGAGAGTGTATTCCAGCCACAGTTCGCGATGGCGGAATGAAGCTTTTCTGATCAATCTGAACAATTATTCTGTCTGCAGATTTCAGCTTCTGGACTGTGAATAGGATGCGATGTTTTTCAAGCTGTAAGGCCAGTGCAGGGAATGTTACAGAGAACAGATACATTTTTTATCCGTGTGTAAACCAGCGTTAGGCAAGACATCACAGTGTGTTATACTGATCACTCTAGTCCTTGAACCAGGTGGTATCTCTTAGGAGTTTATAAAATGGCGAAAACAAAGCCTTTTACAAAATTTACCAGGTTCTTTTAAAGTAGTGGTTTTTGGTAGATACAATGTTTTAAAAACTTTGATTGTTGTGTTATCACAAGTATATGAACAATGTGGCAGTGGCTGTAGTAAAAATTCATTTGTAAAGTTCTAGAGTTTTCTGAGGAATGAGTGTTTTCCATCTAAATTTGTGATATTTCCTATTTAAAAAGAAATAGAATGAAGTATGCTTAGTTTTCCTTTCTCGCATAACTTTTCTATATAGAACTAATAAAATTACTTTTTTTAAAAAAAGTATTAGTTTTTAGTGCATTTATGACCAATTCAACTCCAGATTCTTCCATTGGTCTAAATCTTTCCTCAAGATGTTCAGGTATTTCAGCTGACATCATCCGTTTTATCACCAACTACCTGCATTTCTTAAATATTCGTAGCCTTTTTTTGCATTTTGAGAGAGCAGGCCCCACTGCGCCGGTCCCTCCCACACTTGCGTCTTGCCCGTCGGGAGCCGCGGGCCTGCGTGGGCGTGGGCAGGGGCCATGCTGGGGGCGGAAGCCGGACAGCAGGGCCCATCCGGCCCCTGAGTGGCCTCTTATCTTGAATAAAAGATCCTTGATTCTCAGGCTGAGGCCATTAATCCTATTAATTTTCTCCTGCTCCTACTTAGCCCCGTTCAGTGTTTTAAGTAAGAAGTGCAGGCTGGTCTGTTTCTCTTTCGTTGTGGTGACCTGCTTTATCCGTCTGGAAGCTTGTGAGGATTCTCCTCAAGTTCAGCTATTTCCTCAGGACATTTTTTGGTTATGTCCCTTTTTCCATTAGGCTTTCGGAGCCATTTCAGTCTGAAGATTCAACCCTTTCTTCTGCTCAATTAAATTTTCTATTATCTTTAATTAATTATTACTTCTCCATCTGCTACTTTTTGTATTCTGAAGCTCTTGCCCTTATTTGGCTTTAGCTCCTGAATCTGTCTTCTAATTTCTTTTTAAATCTCTTTATTTTTCTACTGCTTATTCTGTATTACTTTTATCCCATTTTTCTTTCAGATACTAATTTGATTCTTATCCGTAACTCTTTCATAAAATGTTTATATTTGCATATCTTGTTTTTTGTTGGATTTCCAGTAAGTCTAGTAAGTAAGGACTCCTGGGCATTGACTTAAAAAAATAGAGTTGTCTGTGTTCTTCAGTAGTGTTGCCTCCCAAAGAGATGCCTGTTCTGACTACTCAGAAGGGCTCTCTCCCAGAACCTGCTCACCTCTCCAGATCAGGCTGTGAGCTTGTTGGGGGGAGGGAGGGACTCGGCCCTTGGAGTGACTTGGACAGGCAAGCACCCGGGTGGTGGCCGCGCAGCCAGAAGTGTGCGTGTCGTTGGCAGGCCAGCCGGTGGCACTGCGGGAGCCTTCTGGGGAGGGGTGGAAGGAGCCCTCCCGACTCTCGGGCCTGGGCTGGTGAAAGTAGGGGAGCACGGCCTTCTGCCCGCCAGGGACGGCCTCACCCCAGGAGGGGCAGCTCCCTTCCGTGGCTTCCCCAAAGCCAGCGCAGAGGTGTTGCCAGGCGGCCTGTTTGATCCGCCGGTGGGTCGAGCCAGCTGGGACTGGGGCGGGGGGGGGGGGGGGGCAGGTTAGGGACGTCAGGCCCCTGTCTGCCCAGAACTCTTCCTGAGTATTGTGTTTGACACTGTTGTTTATTGGTGTTTTTGCTTGCTTGTGTGTGTTTTGCCTACTACCAGCTTTTAAAAGAGCTGGAGGCAGCTCAGAATTTTTGACGAGCGGCTGGTCTTGCAATCCTCTCTGACTCTCACCTCTGAAGGCGAGACCTTCCCTCCTTGCGGTGAAGCGTGAAAGGCTCCCCCTCAGGGGGAGGCGGTGCCCCTGTCTGAGGGGCGGTCCCTGTGCCTTGCGGCCTGGCCCCGCTGCCCCTGCAGGGAGCAGCCCCCTGGCATAGAGCTGCGACGGCAAGGCAGCCTGCGTCTTCTCTTGTCACTCTTGTCACTCTTAAAATACTTCTGTCTGTTGTGTTTTATTTCAGATTGAAGCACACCTGGACACCCTTATAAATGAGCAAGCTTCTTATGTCCTAACGAGAGCGGGCTTGAGCCACATCTACAACACCGTACAGCAGCACAAACCCGAGCAGGTCAGCGCGCGGCTCTTCCAAACTAGAGATGCGCCCACATCAGAGTGCGGGTTCGAGAGCAAGACTCCGGTTTCAGTCTTGGCTGTGCCCCTGAATAGCTGTTTTTCACTCAGAAAATGATGCAGCTCTCTGTTTCCTCTTCTGTAGATGAGGGATAATAATACGTGTTTCATGGGGTGGTTCTAAGATTGAGATACTACACGTATAGTTCTCAGATGGTTACCACAGAGTGCCCCAAACTGTGAACTATCCTTTTTATGGCAGACAGCTTGGGTTAAAAGAATGAAGATGTACAGAAATGAGTACTGTAAAATATACGGAGACGATTCATTCTGGAAAATTTTTTAGAGCCTCACTCACTGTCAGCTGATTGAATGCGTACATTGCTGCATGACCAGCAGTCGCCGTTTTTTCAGTGAATTGCAGTCTGTTGCTTTGGGAGGTAGAGACTTCTGTGGCCACATGTGACCTTGTCAGGTTATGGAACTCCAGTGCAAAGAGATAATGGGGTGGGGGAAACTCTTGAAAACCAGGTAGATATCTTCAAAATCCGAAGAACTTTAAATGATATTAATGGGAAGAGTATTTTACAGCCCAGGAATTCTTAAATGAAGCTCTCAAAAATCACAAGGTCTGATTTTGTTTCTTTTGATAGTGTAGTAAGCAAATTTTCTACCAGAAGAAACTAATTCTGTTATTTTTTTAATACTGTCTAAAATTGTCAACGTTCACCCGTAAAGCCTCTGTGTCTCATTGTCATTTTCTAAGTGCTTCTTTTCCTTTTTTTTTCCTGCTTATGAATAAATCTGAGATACCCTGGTTTTTTCATTGTTAATAAACTTCTGTGCTTTGCACCTCCTCCAGCAAGCACAGTTGGGTGTTTTATCCTGCATACACAGAAGCAAGCCAGTCCCGGCCCGGCTCTGGCTGAGGCTGAACGAACGACCCCCGAGTTCTCTGGAAAGAAGCTAAACTTCCCAACGTGGGCAGTCCGCTCATGGAGTGTGTTTCATAAATGACGTGAAAAGCGTGGCATGTTTTTTATATCTTGTTTTTTTTCTTTTCCTGTTTTTATTATTTTAGGGCCCTTTAGCGAACTTGCCCAACCTTGATTCTGCGGCGCTGAAGGTGGCAATGGTGAGTGCGTAATAAAGCATCTCGAGACAGGGTTCCTGATGGAGCGTTCTTTTTAAAATTTTATTTTCATTTTATTTTTCAATTACAGTTTACATCCAGTACTATTTCGTATTACTTTCAGGTCCACAGCATAGTGGTTAGACAATCATACTTTAGCAAATGATCTAGCTGATACTTCACGTACCTGCCTGGCGTGATGCATAGTTATTATACTATATTCCCTGTGCTGTACTTCCTACCCTCATAATTAACAAACTCTGGATTTGAGAAAGTAAGGTAGACTTGAAATCGACGACTTCTTGTGAATATTATTGCTCAGAAGCTCGGTGAGGGAGATGAGATGAAAGGCTTGGACTCAGAATTTTTAAACTAGATGCTACTCGCTAGATGTTGACTCCTTTAAAAAGTTGACACTTAGGGAGTTGAGTTAGAATGTTTAAGAAATAATTCATTTTGATCCTCAAGAACTTGTTATTTGGGATATGGGATTTTGCCTCAGATTTAATCCTGAAAAGGCATGGTTGGCAAATACATGCACTTACTTTCCATTTCTCTGTTCCGTTTAGGTTCAGTTTGATCGCTATCTCTCGGCCCCAGACAACCTGTTGATGCCGCAGCTGAACTTCCTTCTGAGCGCCACGGTGAAGTAAGTGCGTTTGGGTCCCTGTTGGTCGGTAAAGAAGTCACACGTTTTTAAATACCAGGCTCATTTCTTTGGAAAAAAAATTATTTTTATGAATAGGAGATTTAACTTTGAAGATTTATAGTTCTCAACCGTTTTTTTTTTTTTGCCTCAGCACCTCTAAGAGATTTGACCTTACCAGGTCATAGTTCTTGAACATATATAACTCCTAAATCCTTATTTAATGAATGATTGTTTAAATTAACATGAATATAATTAGAGCTATATAGCCGTAATACCAAACTCCCTTATATTAACAAACATGTCAGAAAGACATGGAATATGTCATGGAGTATCAGTAGTATCTTCTCTGTGCAATGCAGATTAGCTACTGTATAATCTGTTTTGGACCTATGTAGTTTCTGTAGATATATTATAAAATTGTTCAATATCATATATTTATTAGGAATGTGTTCAGGACAAAGAACTGTGGTTAAACACATTAAAACATTAGGATATTACAGCTGGAAGAAACTGGGAGATCATATTGTCTGAATTTTTGATTTTAAGAAACATACTGACAAACCAAAATTGTCCGCAAGTAGGAAATTAGGCAACAGCTGTCCATTTTTTTCCTTTGCGTTCAACCAGCTGTGTATGAAGAACTTTCTGTGGGACAGGCACTAGGGATTCGGATTTAAAAGACATTTGCCCTGTCTTCTCGGAGATTAGAATATGATGGGTCAATTAGACACTTGAACAAATATTTACATTAAAAAGCACAGCGAGGAAAGAACCGCCAGACTTGAAGAAAACACTTCAGACACCTGAGTGGATGCAGGGCCTGGGGGTGGGGCCTGTGTGTTCTGCTGTTTAGAGAAGGGCCGGCAGCAGTAAAACAAGGAGGGAGGCGGGTTTTCGCTCAGCGTGTGGGAGGAGTTAGTGTTGGTTAGAACTGGCTGAACATGGGATGGACCATTTTTCCCTCGGACACAGCGATGTCCCCTACTCAGTGTGGTTAGAGTGGATGTAGAGTCAATGACTTTAATTTTTTTGATTTTTATGTTTTACTCCAAAATATCTCATACAATCTACAAAACCAGAATTCTGAAGACCTGGGAGATTATAAAGGAAAGTCTGCTTCCTCCTGGCTCAAGTTGTTTGTGTCTTCCTTAAATTACTTAATTTTTAAATCAAATGTGTTTATTTTAGATTTCAATATGTAGTATGTGAATAATATTTAGTTGTTTGAATCATCACTGAATATAAAAGATGCCATTATTTTCATAATACAGTGATTGAGGGGAAATTTTAACGTGTTCTAAAGAGAGGCATGTAGTCCATATTCCATTGCAGTGAAAAGAATAATGCGAGTATCGCAATAAAGCGAGTCATAATCTTTTTTTCTGGTGGAGAGTTTTGCCTTCATGTTATTAAACTGCAATATCTGTGAAGCACAATTAGGTGAAGCGCAATTAGGCGAAGCACAATTAAAAAAAGGCCTGTTTGTGTACGTGAAAAAGCAGTTTATTGTAAGTTCTTCTGAGATGTGACGTGTTAATAAATTCGAGTCATCATAAGCCTCTTTCTTTAATCTGTGACCAGCCGTGTCTGCAAAGTCCCCAGGACACAGCGGTGACCCAGCACAGCCCTGCCCTCCTGGAACCAACAGGGAAAATTTAGCAAAGAGGCAATAAACATAACAAACTTCTTTACCCCCTACCCAAGATAAGTAACTTGTATAGGGGTACAGTGGCTTTTTAATAGTATCAATGTGATAATTAAGAAAATGAAATGCACACGTTCAAACCGGAAGCATTCTCACAGTTCTGAGTATTTTAAGATTATGTTTCATGTTTTGCTTGTCTGCCAACAGGGAGCAGATCCTCAAACAGTCTACGGAGCTGGTCTGCAGAGCCTACGCGGAGGTACATGCTGCTGTGATGAGCCCAGCCAACGGCTACGAAGACCCAGAGAGTGTCCTGTACCGGTCGCCGCAGCAAGTGCGGACGCTGCTCTGCTGACCGCGTCCTGTGGTGGCGGCCAGATACCACGTCCCTAGGACACTGGGCGTGGTTTTCTCGGTTTTTAGGCTGTTAATCTTCACATTGAGATTTGATGGTTACAGTTTTCTTTGCATCGTAAGATAGTAAGTCCCGGTAATTGCTTTATTTGGGCACAATAATGTGCGAGTAAGGGATGTATGTGGCCCTGCACCGGTGTTGCTGTGCGTCTCCTCTAGGGGGCACCCTGTTCTCTGCGAGCCGCCTCCCCAGCTCTGCAGTTGCCCTCTCTTCTGGAATGTGGCGATGAGGGGGACAAAGCAGTATGAGAGATGGGAGGGATCTTTTTATAAGATTGGTTTTAACTGTATGTAAAAAATTAAACTTAAGAATTACTAGGAGGATATGACCTAATAAATGTCTCTTTACCTGAAGATCCATTTGCTCTCTCACTGGTCATTAATGTGAGCAGGTATACCTGAACTGAGGAGCAGAAATACACACTCAGCACAAAGTGGGAAAAGGGAGAGAGAAAAATAACAAACAGAGCGGATGCCTCTCTGTGAGCCCTGGGCCGAGTTCAGCGTGAAGTGTATCCCGTGTGTGAGCGTCCTGTGTGGCGTGTAAGTCTCGTATTTAAAGACAGATGCTTGTTACACAGGGCAGGCTCTCAGTTCAACCAGGTAAAGCTTTTGTCTGACGTTCAAACCCGAGGGCTATGACCTGCGCCAACACCGGAGGGAAAACGCCAGAGTGGCCGTCGTTACCCGGCAGAACGGATGGCGGTCTCCATGGTGGCCCCTTGCCAGGAATGGCTGGGGCTCTCACTTTAGAGCTCTGCATGTGACCTTGCTCTGTCGGTAAGGTTTTGAGGAGAATTCTTACTAGCAAGATAGCTTACTTTCTGGTAAGTCAACAGAAAGAAGTTAAGTCTCTGAATTATAAATGAGAAAACTGAGGCATAAGGAGAAGTTGACTAGGTTAAGATATTTTGAAAAGCAGTAAGAAGAAATTAATGTTTATATAACAAATCAGCATTTATAGAACATAGCCTCGTCATCTATCTGAAATTTATAATTGTTTACATTAATATTCTTTTGGAGCAAGAAGAGTATATATCATCTTTTGTTATAAATCTGTATTTTTAGTCTTTTTTTCTTCAATGACTGTGTGTGATATATAAAGTATAGAAAATAAAGGATGATATAAGTCAAGAGCTTAAATTTTAGATAATTTATTTTTACTATGAAAAAAGATTACCACCTCATTAATAGTGAATTCCTTTGTTTTCTAGGGAGAAAAGTATATGTCACCTTTTACCTAGTTTTCACAAATAAAATATTAAACTACTTCTAGAGCAGTGATCATTACAGTATGTTTTTTACATCTTTTTAAAGTGTTTTTGAGAAAATGTACTAATAGAAAAGGAAGTACAGTATAGGGTCAAGCTGAGATAACCAATGGAGGATTGATGTGGAGAATGTGGTATCAGTATGACCTTAATATGTATTAAAATACATATTAAGAAGTTCACCAAACTCCAAGTAGGATAAACTCAAAGAGATTCACACTAATACCTATAAACTATAAAAGCCAAAGACTAAGAGGGAATCTTGGTAACAGCAGGAGAGGTAACCATCATGTCTAAATGATTCTCAGTAAGAGTAACACCTGATTTATCGGAAACCATAAAGACCAGATACAAAGTGTTGAAAGAACAAAACTGTTAACTTAGACTTCTGTATCCTGCAAAACTGCCTGTGAAAGTATAGGCAGAATTAAGACATTCCCAGATAAACTATTACACCTTGCCTACATGAATGTTAAAGGAGGTCCTTGAGGCTGAAATGAAAGGATATTAGAAAGTGAATCAATAAAACAGAGAATAGCAAAGAAATAGAAGGCTTGGGCAACACTACAGACTAGCTAGAATTAATAGATACACATATAACAACAGCAGAGTACACATTTCTCTGAAGTGCACGTGCTGTGTTCTCTAAGATCATATCTATAAATTCACATCTCAATAACTTTAAAAAGATTAAAATTATACCAGGAATGTTCTCCAACTACAATGACATGAAGTGAGAGATCAATAACAAGGGAAATTTGAGAATACATAAATATATGGAAATTTAATAAGACACTCTTTAAGTAGCCAGTTGGTCAAAGAAGGAATCACAAAGAGAATCAGAGAAAACTTTGAGATGAATGAAAGTTTGACAGGAGGCAGCAAAAACAGTGCCCAGAGGAAAATGTTTCGCTTACATTAAAGAAAAAGAAGTAAGGTAACCTACTCTTACACCATAGAAAACTAGAGAGAAGAATAAAATGAAAGCAAAAAAGAAGTATAGCATACATACATAGAGAAAACACAGAATAGAAAAATAACATTTCAGTGAGTGAGTGTGCTAACCATTCCGTAACCCATGCATTGAGTACAGATGTTTGAACACATGTAAAAATGCTGTTGTAAAACTTTTCTTCCACAGCCTATTGAGAAGAGTGTTATTTTTTGAGACTGCTGACCATGATGTGATGCAGACAGACAAGTGTCTAAAGACACACGTAAGAAGATGATTCTAGGAGTGCTCCCTGCTCAGTCATGTTGAGAATAATGTTATTTTAGTTACTGGGGGTGCTTACCATGAAGTACTGCAAGTAGAAAGGTATTGAAATATATACAAAAAAAATATATAGAATAGGAAATTTGGTTCCTTGAAATGACAGACAAAAATTTGATTAGCCTTTAGCTAGACCAAGAAAAGAGCAGACTCATATTACTAAAATCTGGTATGAGGGAGGGGACAGACGTTACAACTGGCCTTACGAAGTAAGTAGGTTAACAGAACTAAGAAGAATTATATATCAACAGTTAAGTAACATAGAGGGAAAGGACAAGTACCTATAGAAACTCAAACTAAACTGACTCAAGGATAGATAGAGACTCTAAATAGACCCACAGCAAAGAAATTGAGTCAGTAATCTACATTTGCGACAACAGCAACAACAAAAAAGCTCAGGTTCAGGTGGCATCACTGGTGAATTCTACAAGATGTTTAAAGAAGTCATAATACTAATTCTTATCAAACATCCCCCCGCAAAAAAAGCCCCAAAAACAAAACAAAAACCAAAAGGGAGCACGTTCTAACTTATGCTCTAAAGGCCGTATTTATTATTCATAATAACAGAGTCAGTAAAGGCATCACAAGCAAACTGCAGACTGACATCTTTTATGAATGCAAAATCCTCAACAAAACACCAGCAAATAGGACTGTACACTACAACCCAGTGGCTTTATCTCAGGAACTTAAGGCCAGTTTAATATATATGCAAGTTAATGCTTTAACAATATATGAAAAAAAAAGATTATTCCAATAGATAAAGAAAAAGCATTTTATAATATCTAACAGGCGTCCGTGATTAAAAAAATAAACACTCAGCCAACTAGGAACAGAAGGGCGCTTCCTCAGACTGTTACAGGACATTATGAAAAACCCACCGCTGACATCATGCTCAATGGCAAAAAACAGAAAGCTTCCCCCAGGTCACAAGCAAGCTGTGGATGTCACTCTTGCCACTTCTGGTCTACATTGTATTTGAAATTCTAGTCAGGGTAATTGGGTAAGAAAAAGAAAGAAAAGGCACTCGGGAAAAGGAAGAAGTAAAACAGTCTGTTGCAGATGGCAGGGTCAAACATACATAAAATACTAAAGAAGAAGAAAAGCCATTTTCAGTAACAAGTGCGGCAGCATTGCAGTATAGAAGATCAGTTTGCAAAATGTTTTGTATTTCTATACACTAGCGATGAACAACCTGAAAATTAAAGCAATTCCATTTACAGTAACACCACAAAGAGTAAAATGCATAGGAATAGGTTTAACCAAAGAAGTGAAATATCTACCCCCTGAAACCCATAAAACACTGTTGAAAGGAATTTAAAGTGACCTAAATAAATGGAAAGACATTTCAATGTTGTGAGTTGGAAAACTTAATATTGCTAAAATGGCAGTATTCTCCAAATTGCTATACAGATTCAAAGCAATCTCCCTCAAAATTCCAAATTCCATCTGTCCTATTTTTTCCAGAAATGGACAAGCTGATCCTAAAGTAAATGTGGCCGTACAGGGGAACATAAGCATCCAAAACCATCTTGAATCTTAATGTCAAAACTTATAACAATGCCGCTGTGGTCAAAACAGTGTGTTACTGGCATAAAATAGATGGACTAGAACTCAAGAGTTCAGAAATAAACCCATCCCTTTATTACCAGCTGATTTTTCACAAGGCCGTGAAGACTGTAAGGGGGGATAGAATTGTTATTTTAGCAAATGGTGCCGGAACAACCGGGAATTCACATGCAAAAGACTCAAGTTGGACCCATATCTCATACCGTAGGCAAAAATTAACTCGAATAGATCAAAGATCTAAATACGAATGTTTATAAAAACTAAAACAAAAGGAAATGTAAATCTTTTGGGCCTTGTTATTAGGCTATCAATTTTTATCTTTTATACAGTATAGTTTTAAAAATAAGTATATAAGTGAAAAGCAGTCACATAATAATGTTAAAAACTTGGCAGCCATCCATTTCTATATTTAGTTAAATATGCTGTTTAAAATATTATAGCTAGGCCTACATATGGTTATTGGGAGGATCGAATTGTATTTAAGCACAACTAGCTTGAAAATACATACTTCTCCTCAGAGAGAGTGCTTTTGGAGAGAGTGAATATATTTATGTGTTTTTACAGATCCAAATATAAAGTTACTATAAATTAGCTGAGAAGTTAATATAATAATCATATTCATAACAGCATGCTAGTCTATCAAATTCAGCTAACATAATTGCCAGTGAATCTTAAAAGCGAAAACTTCTGTAGCACTGATAATTTAATCAGAAAAATAACTGGTACTAAGCTTATAAAAAGGAGCCAAATTGAGGAAAATTTTTGACAGGGCCAAAGGTTTTCTACATGAAATGCTTGCTTTGAGGGGACGTCATTTTTTGACACAGCACTTTGTCATTGTGTACTTTTACGCAGTCAAAGTCCAAGCCGATTGAGGATTTTCCAAATTTATAGCTTTGCTACCAAGAAATTAATTTCCTTAAATTCTATTTCCATCAGTGCCGAGATCGGAAATCTAATGGGAGCAAGGGCTAGATTTTTGCCTGCAAAAAACAAAATGACAAGAAACGAGTGGTTTTTCCTGTGTGAGTCACCATCCCAAGCTGAGTGGGTCTCCCATGCAGAAATGCCACCAGCCTCTCTGGGGCTGTCCCCCGTGGGCTCCTGCTGTGCAGGTCCCAGACAGGAGCCGGCTGCTCTCTGCAGCCAGGCCTCGGGAGGAGCGTGTCGTGGTAATGAGGATCGGGCTGAAGTAGAAAAATGCGTTTTGTCATAGAAGCCAAGTCTTACAAATGGAAACCCAAGATGTGATTAATATTCCACAGACTTGCAGCGCGCATTTCACTGCAGACCATGAATCTTCTTGCTTAGAAAATGGATTCATTCCTTTTCCTAAAGATGTCAGCAAAGCAAACACTCAAAGGCAAGAAAACTGGTGCGAAAAACAGAACTAAAAACGAAAATGGCACATCCAAGTACCCTGCCTTCATTCTGAATCTTACAAAGAAGAAAATTACTCATCCGACGCGTACGAACAGGTTACTAATGTAATGAATCATATAAAAATACACCATAATGGAATGTGCAGGAACCGAAAAATGTGCAAATACACTCTGATAACTACGGGAAGCCTCTCTTTGCAAGTGGTGAATCGTGAGCCATCCACGGTGTGGCTCACGGTGCCTGCAGGCCTGTGGGTCCAGTGTAGGGTGGATATTGCTCCCCACCTTCCGTGTATGAAACTAGGGCAGAGGCTCCCTCTGCCTAAGTCCATGTTCCAGAGGTGTGGAGCCTTTTCTGGATTGTTTCTACATTCTTCTCCTGGGCTTATTTATTCCTGCCCCGAGAACAAATGTCTTAATTATTATTAAAGCTCCACAGCAAGTCTTCATATTAGGAAAGATGTTCCACAATTTTTTTTTCCCCCGTCTAAAGTCCCTCAAGCATCCTTGGCTTTTTGTTACCCACTTAGGTTTTAGTACCACTCACATTTCTCAAACAACGATTGGGAATATGGTCAGGGTGATTTTCAATCTATCAATGTGTGTAGAGTTAATATCTTTACGATACTAAATAATCCAAATCATCAGCATGTTAAATTTTCCCTGTTAAATTAGGGTAGTAGTGTCCAGAAAATTTTTAAATAAATTTCTCCATAGAAATCTACGAAAGCTTTGGTATATTTATTCCTAAGAAACTTAAAGTTTTGTTCATAGTGTAGGTGGTATTTATTTTTAATTACATTTTAAAATTATTTGTTGCTGTATATAGAAATGGAATAGACTTTTGTATTTTGATTATATTAGATCCAAGCACCTTTCTAACTTACTTATTGTAATGATTTTGCTTTGGGTTTCCTGTGGAAACATTTATACTATTTGAGACTGGATAACAGTTTTCTTTCTTTGAAATCTATATGCCTTTTATTTTCTTAATATACTGTCTCGAGCCTCTAGCACAATGTTAACTAACAGAGCTCCTAATGGACATTTTCCTTAGTGCAGATTTTTTTGTCTAATTCATTTATCTAATTGTTGACACTATTACAGATATTCCCATATATCATCATTAAGAATTATGTTTGCTGTAAGTTTTCAATATATTACTATAAGAAAGTTTATTCTAGTCTTATATGCTCTCGGTTATTAATTATAGATGTGTTAAGTTTTATTAAATGACTTTCAGAATCAATTGAGATGGTCATGTGGTTTTTCTCTTTTATTTGTTAATGTGTAAATGACATAGTTTTTCTGCTGAGAAACCACTCTTGTATTCCTCAGATAACCTTAAATTGATCCTATTATTTTCTCTTTTTGCCTAAATCACTGGAATTAGTTTTGTTTTGGTATATCGACTAGTGACTTTGCCAAATTTCCTTAGTAATTCTAAGTATTACATATAGTTTTGGGGGCATTTTGTATGCATTTGATCACAATAGTCATGATTAATGACAGTTTGTTTCTTCCTTTTACCCTTTTCTGGCTTTCTGTCACTGGGCAATGTTCGGCCAGTACAACGTTACTGTGTTGAGGAGAGGTGCTCACAGTGGTTGCCTTTGTCTTTTTCCAAAATGTGGGGAAGGAGGGAAAACTTCCACTGGGTAGATGTTTTGCAGATAAGTCTTATAAAATTCAGAAAGTTCCCTCTGTTGCTGGTGTGTCATAATTACTCTAAATCATGAGTGACCATTAGGTTTTATAATAAAAAATTTCTATATGTATTTAGATAACCATGTAATCTCCCTCTCTCGTTTGCTTACAGTGGAGAATTTCAAATGTCGAAACAACCTTGCATTCTCGAAATAATCCCAGTGGTTATAATTTACAGTCTTTGTATATATCTCTTGATTTGATTTATTTAGGATTTTTTCATCTGTGGTCATGAGAGAGACTGCTCTGTTATTTTTCTTTCTTTTAATGCCCCTGTCCAGTCTTGGTAAGAAGGTTGTACCAGCCTCTGTGTTCTATTCTCTTCCCTTCTGTTATCTGAATTGATGTAAGGTTGTTGTTACTTCTTCCTTAAATGTTTCAAAAAATTCCAAGTGAAGCCAACTTACCTGGAGGTGACTGGGGGAGAGATTTAAACCAGATACAGGACTGTTCATATCCTCGACTTCTTTATGTGTCAGTTTTGGTGAATTTTATTTTTCAGGGTATATGTCCATTTTATCTAAATTTGTTGTCATAAGGTTGTTCTTCTTACTCTCCTCTTTTTGAATGTTTGTGGGCTTGATATTAGTAATTTGTGTTTTCTTTCCATCTTTTTTCTTGATTAGTCTTGCTAAGAATTATGGACTTTGTTAGCCTTGTCAAAGAGCCTGGGTTTTTAAAAAATCTAGTTTATTATCTTTGTTTATTTTCTATTTCATTGATTTTTACTCTGTCTTTATTTCCTTCTTTCTGCTTTTCT